TCACTAACACAAAAAACAAAACAAAAGAAAAAAAAATTCTTTTTTAAAATACGGCGAATAAATTCATATTCTCACGAAAGTTATTCATAACTTAATAATAATAATAATAATAATAATAATAATAATAATATTTGTCGTCGTGTCACGAGAAAAAACAAACAAAAACAAACAAAATTTTTAGTATAAAATAAAATTACTGCATTAATTACGATTGATTTTATATAAAAAAAAAAAATTTTTTTTTTTTACACTGCTGAATGAATATGTGTAACGTTTAAAAACCGGATGGGAAAAAAATCCCGTGGGATACGTTAGATAACGGGTGAATAACCTGTCAAGAGAATTTTCTCCACCCCCCCCCAAAAAAAAAAAATTATTTTATATATACGGTTTACTACAAGTGTTCATATTAATTTTCGTTATAAAATATTAAGAAAATTTCATATTAGCATTGATAAATTTTCTTTTTTTTCTTTTTTCTTTCTTTCTTATTGTGATAACAACCGGAAATACCTTTTTTGAAATAAAGTAAAAATTTCCATTTCCGCTTTTTTCCGCTTTTCTTTTTATTTTTCTTTCTTATTATCGAAATCTTAAAAAATTTTTCTCTTCTTTTCTCCTTTTTTTTTTTTTTTTTTTTTTTTTTTTTATTCTCGAAATTTCTAAAAAAAATTCTACGAAAAATAATGATGATAATAATAATAATAATAATTGTACGACGGAAACGGAAATGATATTCATGTTTTTAACGATTCGATAAACAATAAAACTAAAATCAAAACACAAAAAACGTTAACGATTACACCATGTTTTTTTTTTATATTCAAAACTAAAAACTTTGAATAAGAAATCATTTGAAAAAAAAAAAAAAAAAAAAAATTCATCCCGTGGGATAACTTTTCTCTCCCTTTCCCCCCCAAATTTTTTTTTTTTTTTTTTTAAAACAGATAAAAAAATTTTTTTTTTTTTTTTGTTGTTTTAGTTTTTCCAGGAGTTTTAACAAATTTATTTTTATTTACAAAAAAAAAAAAATTAAAAAAGGGAATGAATGTGACGTCACATTTTAAAAAAAAAATTAACATGCTACGTGATAACAACGATTGTCGTTTGTCGTTTGAAATGAGGTTTTTTTTTTTCGTACAAAAAACAAACAAATGCACAGACACACATGTCAAAAACCGCAGATAAAAACCATGTAGAAAAATTTGAGGAAGGGGAGAGGGGAGGGTTGGAAAACAACAATTTTGGAAAATGAGTTTTTCAAGAAAAAAAAAAAAATTTTTTTTTTCTTAACGTTCCCTTAAGAACCACAAAAAAAGGGAAAAAAAGGAAAAATTTGTTGTTTTGTGTTGACGTCATCAATGATCAACCAACCGATTGATTAGAAGTGGGGGGCGTGTCGAATGATAATAAATTAAACATTTGAATCAATGATAATAAAACAAATGTCTTAACCAAGACCGCCATTTTTTTTTAACGTTAACAAAAAGTTTGGCTAACCTGATTAATGAAAATGTTTAATACGATTTTAGTCTCGTATAAACATTATTATTATTATTATTATTATTATTATTATTATTATTATTATTATTATTATTATTATTATCATTATCATTTAAAACCGCTAAAAACCGGGTGGGAGGGGAAGGGGGAGGAGAGAGAGGGAGGGAAAGAAGACGAAACGTTTTAATTTTTTTTTTCTCCCGAGAAACTCAAATAAAAAATAATTCGGGTTTTAAACCAAATCGTTTTTTTTTGGGGGGAGGGGTGGGGAGAGGGGAGGAGTCTCCTCTTTTTAGAAACTAACTTTTAACTGAATGAAAAATGTTACTTTCTTTAACTCGTTTAACCGAATAATTTATTTCCAAAAAAAGGAAAATCCATTAACCATTTCCGGTAATTTTTCCTTTGATACAAAAATTTTGTCTTCTTTTTTCGCAGTCTATATTTGTCCTTGTGTTGAATAATGGCGTCATTTTTAACTTACATTATCACTTTTAACTCCCTTGACGTAATAATCTCTTCGTGCATTTATTACTATTATCATCATCATCAACCTTCCAATCTTTGATTCTCTGATTAAATTCTCAAAGGTTACACAACAACAACAACAGCAACACGTTTTTCCAAAATCTTAGTTTTCTCGATTTAATTTTTACGTTACGTTTTCACGTACGTCGCCATCTTTTTTTTCCATTTCCGTTTCGCCAAATGTATTTATATAAAATTTAAAAAAAATTTCATTAAATAATAATTTTGTAGTTGAATCCGTAACGTTTTTTTTTAAAAAAATAATAATGATAACGAACTGCGGATAACCGCGAACGGACAAACCGGAAATGAATATACAATTTTAATATATATAAAATGAGAAAAATTCAATATTTTAATCAAAAATTCAATATTTTGTCGTCATCATCATCATCGTAATTTATTATCAAATATATATATTAAAAAAAATATTATTATTATTATTATTATTATTAAAAATTTTAATATTTAATTAATTTGATAGTTTTGATAAAAAAAAAAAACGAAATTTTTTTATTTTTATGGCTACTAAAAAAAAAAAAAATGGCGTCACCAACATTAAAAGAAAAAAAAAGTTATTAATGTTTCTCTCATAAATCTAGTTAAAAGTCTAATTTTTTTTTTTTTTTGTTATTAAATTCATTTTCCTGGTAACAAATTTTTTTTAGTAGTAATAATAATAATAATAATAATAATAATAATAATAATAATAATATTAATAATGATATAAATCATTCACGTTGAAATTATTAATAAATTTTATTCGTTATTCGTTATAAAAAAAAAAAAGGAAAAACAAAAAGTAAAGAAATAAATAAATTAGTAATAATAATAATAATCATAATAATAGTAAGTTTATAAAGAAAATTTGGAAAAATTGATCGTGAAAGAAGAAGAATAATATAAAAAATAAAATGTGAAATGTGAATTTTTTTTTTTCGATTTCACACGTTAAAAAATTTAAAACCCCCTCCCCGCTCGATTTCAGAGTTCAAAGCTCACAAAAGGGGAGGGGGAAGTGAAAGGGGAAATGAAAAAGAAAAAAGAAAAATTTACGGAAACTATATATATATATATATTTACAAAGGAAAAACGCTGTCGGGAGCATCATAATCGTTGAAAACAACATATTTAACTGACAATGCCGTTGGGATATTAAAAAATTGAAAAACGGAAGTTGATGATATTCACATACACACACACGTATCGTTCCTTCAAAAGGTGATTTTTAATTAAGAAAAACTCGAAACGTTTTCATCATTTCACGGAAAACAAACAAAATGTCGTCTTTTACGAATTTTCAAATAAATAAATTTATGATGAAAAAAATCTTTGTAACAAGAAATCGAAAATGTTCCTCTACAACAAAATTATATGTTACGTCATCAAAACAAACAGGAAAACGATGATGATGATGATATTACGTAATTTTTAAGATATCGATCATCAGAACTGCGTTAAAGGTAACAACAAATGAAAAACAAGGCGGAGATGGAGAAAACATAAAATGTTTTTAAAAATGATTTTTCTGCCCACGTGACAATGTTGTGAAAGTAAAACCGGGGGGGGGGAACGGAAAAAACGAATTTCTAAATCAAATAAAATCCCTCTCGATTACTTTGAAATTCACAACGTTTTGAAAAAATAATAGTAATAATAATAAAGGGGAAACAACCGGTTGTTGCGGTTGTTGTTTAGTTATAAAGAAACGGGAAATGGTGCTGTTTGTAAGTTGTATGGGTTTCATCAAAGAAAACCCAACCGTTAAAAAAACATTGGAAAACTTTTTTAAGTATATAAACTTGTGATGGCCAAAATGTGGAAAACCCTTACAAAAAAAAAAAAAAAACCTATTCTAACCGTCGTGGAAGCAGTGAAAGCCGCATAAAAACACGTTCAAAAAACAAAAAAAAAAACGAATTTTTTTTTAAAAAAAAAAAAAAAGGTTTTTAACGTTGTCAAAATTCCAAAAAATAAAAGGTTTGTTTGTTTTTTTTGTGGTGGGAAACGCCACACACACAAACACACAAACACGTTTTAATAAAAGAAACAAAAAACATTTTTAAAAAAATTTAATAAACATAAAATGAATATTAGGCCATCGATGACGCAACACATATATACGTAATAATAATAATAATAATAATAATAATAATTAATAATAAAAAAAAGAATGATATAAAAGAAAACATAAAATCAAATTATAAAAAAATTTTTCAAAAAACATAAACATTTTTTTTTTTAAATGAAAACAACAAACACTGAGAAAAAATTTCCACAATTCGGTTAACCTTTTTTTTTCTCTCTCTCTCTCTCTCAACAATCCTTTTTCACGTTTTTCTCCCCCCCCCCCGGTTAAGGAAATAAAAAAACAAACTTTCTGACAGTTGAAAAAACTTTAAACCCAAATTTTTTCCCTTTTTTTTTTTTTTAATTCTTTTCTCACACCCATTTTCCCCTCCCCTCTCGGTGCCCCATGTTTTCTTCTTTGCTTTCTTCCCTCCCCCCTCCCCGTTCATTTCCTTTTTTTTTTTTTTAAATACAAAATTGTATTTTCTTAAACTTCTCTTCTTTTCGCGGTTTTCTTATATTGACGCGTTTGTTAACTTTTTCTTTCTTTTTCTTCTAATTGTTTTCATCATTTTTAATTTGACAATAGAAATTCTTTTTTTTTTTTGTTTCATCTCTTTCTCTTTTCTTACCCCTTCGAAACAATTTTTTTTTTTAAGCGTTTGTTGTCAACATTATTGTTTTAACGCCGATACAAACAAAACAAAACTAATTTTTTTTTACAAAGTAATAATTTCACACGAACAACAAACCGACAACAAAACATTGCAAATAGTTGCTAAAAAGTTTAAATATTTAATTTGTTAATAAACAACCGAGAGAGAAAATGTTTGTGAACAAGATAAAATTAATTAAACATTTTACATGTTAACAAATCTTTTATTAACCAAATAATTTTTATGTTTAAAACAACAACAACAAATTCATTACAAACACACACAATTTTCGTTTCTTTTTTAAAAAGAGAAACAAACGTAATAAATATTGATAATGTGTTTTTTTTTTTTTTTTTTAACATTAAAGAATATGTTTTTGTTTGTTCTGTAATTTATCCAAAACAAACATTTGAAATTTAATATTATTAATAATGTGTTTTTTTTAACTTTTAAAAACGGAGGGAGGGGTTTTAATTGGTCGAAACATTTAATAAAAATTTATTTAGTTAATGAAAAACACTTGAAACAACCCAACCAACAAAATTGACATTTTTTCTGTTTGTTTGTTTTCAGTGGGACGATTCCGATGAGAGACAATTAAAAATAAATAATTTAGATTTTTCCGCATCCGGTTATTATTCTTGTTCGGCATCCATGGAACAACCAATATATACAAAATTTTCGGAAAAAGTTAAACTCACAGTTTTCGGTAAGAGATTAATTAATTTTTTTTTTTTTTTTAAACTTAAAATACTCGAAAAGGGATCCCAAATGAGTAGGGTTTTAAAAAAAAAATTTTTTTCTTCAGAAAAACAACACGGTGATCCCCAAATAACATTAAGAAAAGCTGCTTATGCTGTTGGAGAAGTTTTAGAATTAAATTGTACGTCGGAACCAGCGAGACCGAGTCCAGCAGTCACGTGGTTACTTAACAGTAAAGAGGTAAGTAATATAATCAATAAACTTTCTAGAAAATTCGAAAGAAAAAAAAAACCTTGAATGAAAACTTTTAAAACTAAAATTTTTATCAAGTTACGAAAACCAATAAAAATGACAGAAGAAAAAAAAAGCGTTCATCGCTACATTACAACAATTTTATTGAAATGATATGAGATGGGTTTTGTTTGTAGTTGTTCCATCGACAACCCATTAATTAATAAAATAATTAACTAATATTTAAACAATTAATAATAATAATAAACGTTTTCACAATTGATGCAATTTACATTATTATTATTATTTGATTTGATTTTACAAATTGTACAAAGTAATCATCAATTAAAGAGGTCAAAACAAACCTAAAAACAAACAACAAGTCGAATATAATTTGTAACTGTTAGCACAACAAACATACTACCTCTTTAAACTAAATTCATCAATCTCATCATCATCATGACTACAAACTGTCTATTAGATTTAAATACAGCATCAATGCGGAAATTGTTTTACCACCATTTATACCCAAGAGGTGTTTGTTTGTACATTTCATGTTTTTCTTTCTCCTTTAAAGAAATTATTAACTTTGAATGATGTTTGTCGTCGGACATAATTAAGAAAGTTAAAATAAAAGGATTATATGTTTATTACATCATAAAGTGTGTATTTAGGTATCGTTTACAGGTATGGGGTGGTGATTGTTTAAGTATTTGCAGTTTGTCTAATTGTATCCCTAACATATCATAACCATAAAGACATATTTAATGCTTTCTAACAATACAATCAACATTTCTTTAAAACAAGAGTGATGAGGATTAAATTATTAATGATTGACTTCAACCGAATTGCTGTTGGGATCACAACAATATTAAGGATTTGCAACAACAAAAAAATATGTGATCTTACATAGCATCTGTTAAAATTATTAGTAAACAAACAAACAAACAAATCAAATCATTATATTTTGTTTAAGTGTAAGAAAAAGAAAACAAACAAACTGTGGGCCTAAATACACAATTATTGTAATAATTAATAATCACCTTTGTATTAATATTTTTTTTTTGACTCCATTATTATTATGTTTTCAATCTCATTTTAATTTAATAATTTTTGAAGAAAGGAAAACAAACAAACAAACAATAAACAATCCAATTGGTACAAAATAGTTATGAAACAACTAACTGTCACTGACGCGATTTTCGTCGAATAATTCTATTATAATTTCAGATAATCATTGTTTATTTTTACTTTGTAGTGTGCCTAATAATAATAATAATAATAATAATAATAATAACTATATTTATTTGGATAAACGTTTTGTTGATTGAATAACTACTAATATGAATCGTATAATGAAAATAACAATAAATCATCGTACGTATCGATTTAAAAATGATTTATTTAATTATTCAAAAGTTGGCAACGCATCCGTCGGATGACGTAACACATCGTATCATCATCGTAATTGAAAATTTTCTTTTAATTTCTTTTTTTTTTTTTTAAGGATTTAAAGAAAATTATTTCGTTTTGAAAAAAAAAAGGAAAAAAAAAAATTACCAT